TAGTGCTAAGGTGTACGAACACCCAGACGGTAAGCACTTCTTAACTTCCAGAAAATGTGGCCAAAAGATCTGTCGACTCTTCTGGGTTTCACCAAACAGGAGTGAGCAATGTTTCCTTCGGCTCCTCCTGATGATCATACCATGCCGTGGTTACGCCGATCTGCTTGCTCGTGGTGGTGATGGTTGCACAACATTTCAACAAGAACAAGCACCCTCGGTTTGGTTGAAGATGAGGACGAGTACCACCAGGCACTGAAGGAATCTGCTCGATTTATGGTCGGCCCGAGGCTCCGCTCTTTCTTTGTTCTTCTTTGTAACATGGGAGCTCCTGCGGCCCTCTTGTGGGATGCTTTCCGTGATACATTGTGTGAAGAGGATTTGGAGCGGAATCCTCTTGATCACGACGTTGCGTTCAAGCTGGGTCTGATTGAAATCGATCGAAGTCTTCGCCATCAGGGATCCTGCTTGGCCGATCACGGTCTCCCCATTGTAAATGACGACACTACCGAATTGGGTAGGGAACTACTCATCTTCGGTGAGAATCAACAGAGATCACTGGTAGATGAGTGGGAACCAAAGCTTTCTATCGACCAGAGAATGGTTTTTGATTATGTAAGATCGATATTACAAGTCGGTAGTAGGTCCATTAATTGTATCTTCCTCGACGGACCTGGTGGCTACTGCAAGACCTTCCTTATTCGTGTGATCCTCGCATACGTTCATAGTCTTAACAGGTTTGCTATTGCTGTCGCTAGCTCCGGCATTGCTGCTATGGTAGTCTGCCTGGTGGCACGACAGCACGTTTCATGTTTAGGCTGCCACTTGATCTCGGCGATGGCACTGGGTATTGGAACTTGACCAACGGTTCTCAGCGTGCAGAACTCATCAGAGCAGCACAGCTCATTATTTTTGATGAGGCTCCGATGGCTCACCGGTGCATTTTTAAAATTATCGACAAATCTCTGCGTGACCTCATGAATTCACCTGAGCCATTTGGGGACAAGATCTTCATCTGCTGCGGAGATTTCCGTCAGATCGCACCAGTTGTTGCCAAGGCTCGTACTCCGGCCGACATTGCCTGTGTATCACTGTGTGTGTCATCTCTGTGGTCAAGTTTCAAAATCTTTTCCCTGTCCACCCCTCACAGAACTTCTGGCTCCACTGCGTACTCTGAGTTTCTCCTTATAGTAGGCAATGGAACAATTGGATCTGTTGATTTTGAAGAAGGCCGTGGCTGCTCAAGTCTGATTCCGTTGTGCGGTATTAGATATGTGACATCACTTCACGATTTAATTGACTTTGTATTTCTTGTTTGTGACCTGAACCATACAGTTAGAATTGCAGGCCAGGCTATTCTTTCAACCATGAACGCCAATGTCCAGCAGATCAACAACACCGTTCTCAATCTGACGGACGGCTTGGTTCATGAGTTGAGAAGTGCTGATTCTCTGGACAAGGAGTACGACGACGGTATGGATGTGGACGTTCACTTGTTGAACCAGGCTACTGGCAAGGGCGTGCCAGACCATGTCCTGGGACTAAAGATTGGCTCCGTGTGTCTCGTCATGAGGAACCTGAACATTGACAGCGGACTCATAAACGGCATTAAAGTGATCGTGACCGCTATTAGACCTCGTCTGATCACAGTGGGACTTCCTCGACAACGTGATTCGATTTGTATTCCCCGGATTCAATTCGTTTTCCCGTTTGTCGAGGGGTCTCCGCTTCGTGTCCGCCGTCTTCAGTTTCCTCTCATGCTGGCATATTCCATGACTGGCCACAAAAGCCAGGGCCAGACGATTGATCGTGTCGGAGTCGATCTTCGCAGTGACTGTTTCACGCATGGTCAGCTGTACGTCCTTCTCAGTAGAGTCAGACATCCTGACGACATCGTTGTTCTGGTCCATCCAGGCCCGTTTTTGACCCTGTCAGCGCCCTAGGCACAACTAATAGTAGCGCCCCTTTGCAATATATATATATAAGGGTGTCCACCGACCGGGAAATCCAGGAATCATGCGGGAATTTTATGAACCGGGAATTATGTGTGAATTCTGTATTTCTACCTGGAGTTTTCAGATTACCGTGATCGCGCATGACAACAGTTTCCATGACCGCGGGAGACGATAATATGTCTACACTCGGCCGCGAGATATTCAGAATATTGCCACGATCACGGAAGACGATGATAATGTCCACACGACCGCGCGAAACAGCAAGAATTTTACCGCGATCGTGGAAGACGATGATGATCTCCACACAACTGCGGAACATGATTAACATTTTGCTGCAATCGCGGGAGACGATTACCATGTATACACGACCGCGGGAGATACAATAATGATTTACACGGCCGCGAGGGACAATCGGAATTATGCCACGATCGCGCAAGACAATGATAATGTCCACATGACCGCGGGAAAAAATCAGAATTTTGCCTCATTCACGGAAGACGATGATCTCCATATGTCCATAGGGGATGATTACAATTTTTCCACAATCGCAGGAGACGATTACGAAGTCTACAGAACTGCGGGAGATACAATAATGATTTCTACATGGCCGCGAGGGATGATCAGAATATTGCCGCGATCACGGAAGGCGATGATAATGGCCACACGATCACGGGAAAAGCTCAGTACTTTACCTAATTTGCGGAAGAGGATGATGATCTCCACAAGACCGAGGGAGATGATTACCATTTTTTTACAATCGTGGGAGGCGATTAATATGTTCACACGACCGCGGGGGACGATACAATGATGTCTTCACGGCCGCGAGGGGTGGTCAGAATTTGACCGCGATCGCGCAAGACGAAGATAATGTCCTTACGACCGCGGGAAAAGATCAGAATTTTGCCTCATTCGCCGTAGACGATGATAATCTCCTCACGACCGCCGGATATGCTCATATATTGCTTCGATCATGGAAGACAATAATTATGTCTAAACTACCTGACCCCTGAAAATAGTAAGAATCTGGCCGCAAACGCGGGAGACGATTATGATGTCTACACGGCCGCGAGGGATTATCAGAATTTTACCACAATCGCATGCAAACAACCACCAATTTTTTTATTTTCCAAATTTTTGGCGCCCCCCAAAAAAGCCAATTGCCTCGCGCCCTAGGCACGTGCCTACCGTGCCTATTCGGTAAATCGGCCCTGGGTCCATCCTGACAGGGTCTAGGAAGGAATCGCCTATGCAAAGAACATTGTATACAACGAGCTCCTTCGTTAATTCCTACTTTGACTTTAGCAGTAGGCTAGGGGATCTGCTTTAACAAAACTCTCCGTCGTGATTTGACATCTATGGCAGTACGACAGGGCCACGACTTGCCTTAACAAAAGTCCCCGACATTTAGTGTGTTTTTGTGTGTCTTGTGTGTTTTTGTGTGTCTTGTGTGTTTTTGTGTGTTTAGCGTGTATTGTGTTACCGTTTGTGGTTCCGAAGTTTCCCGGCCTCCCCACGGCGGAACTGGATATGCCATACAGTTTGTGGCTAACTGACAGGGAAACAAACATTTCATAATCGATTTCCATTAATATATTTATAAATATTTACTACCATCTTTTCAGTTAAAACACTACTACTGTTATTTTAAATACAATCGTTGTAAATATGGTTCGGAGGTTTCCTGGCCTCCCCGTGGTGAAACTGGATATGCCATACAGATTGTGGCTCACTGACAGGCAAACAAACATAACTTCATCTATTTCCATTACTATATTCATTAACATTTACTATCATCTTTTTACTTCATGTATCACTTTACTATTATCAACTTATTAACATATCGACATTAACATAACTAGTCTAATATATTTGTTAAATCGTTTTTACTTTCACATCAATCTTCACTATAACGAACCCAATTCTCCTTGTATTATTATGTATTTGACCAAAACCCAGTTGTACAAATACCTTACTAACCTACTCTCATACCGCAATTCTTAAAACTATTTTTTAAAGAGGGGGGCTTTAAAGTCCAGCTCGAAGTTAACTTACCAACATCCTCTAATATATTTGTGAAATCTAAATACTATATTGTTTTTATATACTGTAACGTAATATTGACGGGTTCACTTCATCCCTATGGTCTGCATAATCGAAAGTCCCTGTTAATTTGTAAATACTTGTAAATATGGTTCCTACGTTTTCCGGCCTCCCCGTGGCGGAACTGGATGTGTAACTGTGTAACTGGATTTTTTGCTAACTGACAGGGAAACAAATAGTACTTAACACATTTTAATTAATATATATGGATGTTTACTTCAATAGTTCCATACTAAAAATTTTAATATACAAAATTATAACTTTATTCTATATCATCATAATTCACCTTCTTTTTCTAATTTTTTTATAAGGTGTTCTTTAAGGTCGAGCTTGAAGTTAACTTACCAATCTCCTCTAATGTATTCGTGAAATTGTTTTTATATGACTTAATATTGACTGTTTCACTACCTGCTTTGTTGCAACTCTAACCTACTAATGACAACTAACAGCTAGGCCAAAGGCGAGTATTTGTATAAAATTAAATGCCTTTTAGTTAATAATTACTTTTATTTAGTAAACTTTTTTTTATTTTTGCCAGTGATAAAATGAAAATCATAATACTAAGAAAAGTATGATTAACTAAATAGACATTTTATTTGATACAAATATATTTGAAACTAACCATATTATGCTGTATAAAAAAAAAATCAGTTATTGTTGGTAAATAATTGAATAAAAATATACTAGGCTCTAATTTCAAAACCAAACAGTTTTTTTTACTTCCCACTTTCACATCCTAGGACGGGTAGGTAATACCCAATACCATTTTATACACTATTTCAGGCCACAACAGGAGCTTGTTGGATACCTTACTTTACATACAAGCCTTGTAGGTAGCTTAGCACAGCAGTAATAAAGACTCCATAAAAAGATATAAATATTTTAATTTTTCTTAAGGTAATACACCTCAGGTATAAATAGAAATAACAACTAACAGCATTTTTTATATTTCAAAATGATTTTGTACAACCTCAACAATGTTTTTATTTAAATAAATGTAATAATCAATACATATTCTATTGATACTAGTATTTTACAATACAAGCTACAATTTGTCAAAATAATTCTGTTGTGTTATGATACTATTTTACATCGAAGCAAATTAAATTGTCATTTATTTATGTAAGTCTCTGATGGTGTTAAAGTATGGTGCATATGCAGCCCCAACAGCAAGTCTGAGGGTAGTCTGGGGCATGAACTCTGTTCTCCTCCCCAAACACAAAGTATTGACCCTCATGGCCTTTCCACTTGTATCTTACATGAGTGATTGGGACAGCTCGAACTGTTTGTCTCTGAAACACATTCAAAATATGTTGAAAAACACAATTATTTTATTGTTGTGGTTTTACTATTGCATTAAATAATAAACTGGAATAGCAAAAAGTATTTGAAGTATTTTAGTACAAATTCATTTGTAAATTCATAGTGTGTTGGTAACACAGCTTCCTTACCAGTGAAAGACTCCAAATATCTAATGTGACTCTCCATGTTGAGAAAGGGGCCAGTGACCACAAAATATCCAGTGTTTATTTTATTTTGTGTTTTCTTCTGTGTTCTGTAGTGAATGAAGTGGGATGCCTACATTTCTTAAGGTAAGCCTTCTTATCCTATCCTTTCTCTCCCCTATTATTAAAAATTAAATCAGACAAATATAAATTCAATTTGTCTGCAGGTTTTCTGTGCCAGGGGTATATTTAAAATATATTTCAAACACTTTGGTATTTTTATTATATGAGTCCTGTGATACCGACGATATGTAATCATATAAATTAACAAAACCTTCAGACAATGGTCATTAAAAGTAGTTGTAATACAAGTAAACAAATATTTTATTTTTGTTTCAAATCAGATCCATCTCTTTAACACGACATTCACATATGATTATACACATTTTTACCTGCATTAGTATTTTTTGGTCGACAAATGTTGATATGTGATTGTTTATAAGGTTTTTAGATGCTTCATTTACTTCTTCCTGAGGGAATTCTGTAAGAGGCTTTATTCTTTCTCCAATCTGTGAAAATACTTCTTCTCCAGTTACAAATCTAAAAAATTTTTCTGGAAGCGATACACTTTTTTTTATATACTCAGATATATTCGTTTTCCTGAAACAAATATAAGTTTTGCTTGGATTGAAAAGCTTTCTGACAATGGAAATCCAATAATGTATCATTGACTATATATATATATATATATATACCTATAGATATATAGTCAATTAATGTATACATTCACTATTTATATTGATTATTTTTTTATTTATAGCGATTAGGGTGCTTCCTCAAATCTTGCCATATCTTAAACGACCTTTTTCTAAATAGATTTTAATTTGATAACAGGTGGTTTAAACCCAGCTTTAGCTTAAGATTTTAGCATATCGTTCCAACGCTAATCACATGCATTGGTCATTACGTAGGAAGCAGTTTTACAGAATTTTGCCGTCAGGAACCTTCCATTAAGTATAAATAATTAGGATAATTAATCTGCCTTTCTTCATCAAAGCTTTTACATACATATATTCAGTCCATTATTTCAACATATAATACTGAAACTTCTTTTTATAAATTTGTTAAATTTACTTTGTACATTTAAACATTGGGTTTAGAGAAAGACTTTCTAACGTGTTTGTAAACTAAGTAGCTAGACTTTAACAAAAGTGTTGAATAATTAAATTACCATTATGGACTTTAGTGAAGGGAGATAACTTATTCATACCAAAGAAATTCATTATCTGTAAAGAACCATCCTATTTTCCTTCTAAGATATATAGACAAAGTAATTACTAAAACTTACTTTAGGGACTTTAGGTGTTATGTGTTGTAGGTGTGTTATGTAGACTCCTGGTTAAATTTAGAGTAAATATACCGGTACATTAACATGAAATTGTTCTTTATTAACATCATTATATTAACAATTTGATACATACCATGTGATGGTGAGGAGAATGTAGTATATCATGAGGCCGGTGCCTTCACACGGCTGACATAAGATCCTGCCAGAGGCTTTGCATCTGAGACAGTCGAGACGGCCGAACCCGTGGGTGGATGATCGGCAGAACACACACCTTTCCTTGTAGTCAAACTCTGACGTGAACCCATCCCCATTGCAGTGTAAGCACCTTACCTGGGCAGAGGAAATTGTTTATATGGTTTAAGGTGTTTATTAGTATATGATATCCCTAAAACTGTGATGAATATGATGTTAACAAATACCCTGGGAGAATTCCTAATAGTAACAAACAGGATGTCATGTTTCGTGGAATGTAATTTTAATTTTCAAACACCTCATTGCAAGAAAACATTGAATTATAACAAATTGTTATAGTGTGCGCTTTACTTTTTGATAATATTATAGAAAAGAAAAGCGACAGTATTTTGTACAAATGAATCTTTATAACTTATCGTAACAGTTTTCAAGTTATTCATATTTGAAAATGAAACTTGAATCAAGATTGACACTTATTTATTTTTTGTGTTTGAGTGGATTAAAAAAAATATGATTAAGTGTAACAGTTTAATATATTAATATTGATGATGGTTATGTATCTTCACCATTAGATAAGACTGTACTCAGTTTAGATGTGTAAAACTACTTTCCAATGATTATAATTTTCATCCTAAACTATTCCTAACATAAATATAATCAAAAGTGATGATAGAGACTGATTTGTCAATCTTAGCTCTAACGTGTTGGCAGAAGCAGCAAGATGCCGTATTGATAAACAAACATTTCACTTTGCTTATAAATAAGGGGAATTCAGGACATACAGAATAAAATCACTTCAATCTCCCATACAATTTGACACAGTTAACTTACTATAATCATGCAAACTATTACGATTGTATTAGTAAAATGAGTATTTTACAGGTTCTGGTACTACCTTAATCAATAATTGTTTTCTGTCACTTTAATTCATTAAGTATTCCAAAAGCTTTAGAGGGATCATTAAAAATAAAATAATCAAACTAGGAAAATAAATACCCAGCACAGTAGTATGGAACAAGTTTTTCTGATATATTGAATACCAGCATAGGTGATTTTGAAAGAATCACTGCACATTTAGTACTTAATCTAAACACTGTTTTCTCTATTCACTAAGCAATGCCTGCTATATTTAAGACCACAATTGGATAAGCTTGAATATAGGAGAGACATACACAGCCATAACACTGGCTATAGATGTATAATATAAATCTTCTTCATGTTAAACTTGCTAAGACTGATGAAAGACCATTTATTAAGCAATAAATTATATAATAAATTACCACTAGTCATAAGATTATGTAGTGTTATCGTAAGTTAAATTAAAATATAGTTAAAATAAGACAAATATTTTATTAGGTAGCTTTTACAATAAATCAAGATTCAGAATGTTTACCAACAAAAACTAAACAAATAATATTCTAATACCATATGTTCTCAAACACATATGAATAACAACACATCTCCCCTTTAAAAATCGAACCTCCGAGTAGGTTTGAATTGTCTTGTTGATCTTCTTTGATTCGCTAAAGGTTTTGTCTGCGATGCTATTGCAGGATGATCGAAAGATTCTGATCTTCTGAGGTGTTCTGAAGGACTGGTCTGCAGTGCTGGTTGAGAGTGATCAGAAGGCATAGTAGTGCATATTATCGAAATTGTTGCCAAGTTTATCTATGACGTGTATCCATTTCCCAATTTATCATATTTTATTTCTATATCTTAATGATCAACATATTACTTCTAAACCACATAGTTTTTATATCCTAAATGCATCTAGTTACTCTCCCTTGTTATTTGTACAGTTTTTTCATATTTATCAGGTCAAATACCTTAGGTATTTAGTCCTATTTTAACAATGAAGCTTAGTAATGTTATTTTTAGAGTTGCTTTAGAGTGTAACATTTATTGATGTCGGTGATCCCATCTTTTGAGCAGTTTTTTATATGTGTATATACGTAATAGAACATCCCAAACAGGTCTTTGACCTAGGGATGAATTGTTTCATAGTTATAAATAAGTGTGTGAGTTAGTTAATCTAAGTTATTCTTAAGTTACTCTGTGTAAAAGCTTGTAAATAAATATGAAACAATAAAGATTTTCTGATTCTGATAGTGCTAAATCTTTGCAGTGATCTTCTGTTCCTCCGCAAACAACCATCTTGCGTTTGAATGATATAGGATCGAGGTGCAGGATGTTTGTTTAATATAGTTCCTTCTTGATTCCTGTCCTTTATATGGACTTGAGCTCCAACAGGTAGAGTAGGCAATTCTGTGGCTCTATGTCTTTTGTCAAAATAAATCTTTTGACGATCAATTCTTGCTTCTTCCTTTTCCCTTAACTTTTCAGCGTCTACCAGATAGGGTCTTAGTTGATCAGACATTATTGGAACATAAGTGCGGATCCTTCTCCCGAAAAGTAATTCCGCTGGACTTTTCCCATTTTCTAGAGGGGTTGCTCTTAACATAAGTAGCATTTTGTAGGGATCATCACTTTTTTCTAAGTGGTACTTAAAGTTTTTTACTTGCGCTTTGATGAAGCCGTTGCTTTGTGGAAATTTTGGGCTTGATGTAATCAATTTAAATCCATAATCACGACCAAGTTGTTTGAATTGACAGCAGTCAAAGTGAGAACCGCAGTCTGCTCTCACTGTCTCAGGTACACCATGACGTGCGAAGATGGACTTTGTATATGTCACAATAGTGCCCATTTTTAAATCATTTAGTCTAGCAATCTCCATAAACCTGGAATAATAGTCTGAGATTAAGAGATACCAGTGACCTTTGCACTTCAGCAAATCGGCACCCACTATTTGCCAAGGTCTGTCCGGATAAGGGGTTGGTATCAGCGGCTCTGCTCTCGTAGCGCGATCTTCTGCATATATCTTGCAATTTTCTTCTAGTTCTTTGATTTGTTGAGAAAGACGAGGCCACCACACAGTCAATTTTGCAAAAGATCTACATTTTGTTATGCCTTGATGTCCTTCATGAATACTTCTTAGTACATTAGCTCTTAAAGAATTTGGTATTATAATACGACTTCCAAAGAGAAGTATACCATTTTGCTCACTTATATCTTCTCTTTGATACCAGTAGGGCAATACGTCCTCTGGAATCTTAGATTTTTCTGGCCAACCTTTCACACAATACTGAGACACATGTTTTAGAGTTTCATCTTTCATAGTTTCTTGATTTATTTCTCGCAACCTTTCATCCGAAACTGATGGTAGAGTAGTGTCAATATTTTGTATATAAGCAAGGATTTCCTCTGTAAGTTCCCATTCCTCTTCAGAGTTCTCTGTGTCTCGAGACAGTGCATCAGCCAAAATCAACTGTTTGCCGGGCGTGTAGGTAATATCATATGTATATCTCATCAGCCGGAGTCGTATTCTCTGAAGCCTGGGAGTAATATTGTCCAAGTCTTTTATCTTGAATATGGAGAGCAAGGGCTTATGGTCTGTCTCAATATGCAAATGCAACCCTAATATGAAGTGTTCAAATCGTTCACACCCCCATGCAATCGCTAGAGCTTCTTTTTCTATTTGAGCCCAATTACGTTCGGCTGATGACAAACTTCTCGAAGCATAGGCCACAGGACGTTTAGTTCCATCTTCTTGAAGCTGAAGTAGTGCAACTCCAATACCGTATGACGAGGAATCCGCTGAGAGGAAGGTTTCTTTAGACATGATGAATAAAGCGAGACATGGTTCGGACATCAATGACAGTTTAATCTTTTCCAAAGCTTGGTCTTGATCAGGCCCCCAAACAAATTCTGTATTTCTTTGCAGTAAAGCATGTAGTGGATGAACTATGGTCGACAAGTTATGAATAAACTTTGCTACATAGTTGACAACACCTAGAATTCTTCTTAGTTCTTTAATATTAGTTGGCGTCTTGAGTTTTTGGATAGCCTCAACACGAGAGGGATCTGGCTTAATACCATTTTTAGTTACAAGGTGGCCTAGTAAACTGATACTGTCATGCCGGAACACACATTTTGATCTATTAAGTGTTCAGCCCTTTTCCTGTAGCCTACACAAAACACTATGTAAATTTTTGTCATGTTCTTCCATATCTTTCCCGTATATAGTTATGTCATCGAAATGGCAAACAACACCTTGAAGGCCTTCAAGTGATTCAAACATTTGACGCTGGAATACTTCTGAACCAGTGGAAATCCTGAAAGGGAGTCGTAAAAATCTGAACCTTCCAAAAGGTGTGATGAAAGTAGTAAGATATGAAGCTTCTTCTGTTATGGGTATTTGCCAATAACCCGAGTTAGCATCTAGTTTCGAGAACACCTTAGCACCATCTAATTGTCCCAGAGTGTAGTCTACAGAGGGCACAGGATATAGTTCTTGTTTAACACTCTCATTAAGTTTAGTAAAATCTACGCAAAGTCTTATTGAATTGTCCTTTTTAGGGACAATGTCAAGAGGTGAACACCAGTCAGTCAGAGTGTCTACTCTCACGATAACACCTTTATCCAACATTGCATCCAGTTCTCTTTTTACAGCATCTTTATAGGGTAGGGGAACACGCCTTGGAACCTTGAGAGAGTACGGTTCAGCGTTTGGCTTTAATTTTATATTATAATGAGCTTGTGTATCACCAAGACCGCCGAAAAGTTTAGGGTACCTACGATGAATAGGGATCAAATGAGCCAGTTGAGTTGACTCGATACATCCTTTTAACTAGACCCAATTTTTCACTAACTTCATTGCTCAAAAGAGTTCTATCAGCACCAGATATTACATAAAACTGAGACTTACAATATTGATTCTTGTACTGGATTGTACCCTCGAATACGCCCAAGATATTAAGGACAGATCCGTTAGGCCCAATTAAAACTTTGTTACTTGAATTTAGTGGGTACAAAAATAATTTCAACTTATAAAGTGATTGGGGCAAGACACAAACGTCAGCTTCAGTGTCTATCTTAGCTTGAATACATACTCCATTTAGTTTAACTTCAGCAGACCATTTTGCTTAAGGGCTCTTTTGAGGATTAATAGACCCCACAAACTTGTCACTCTTAACAACTTCATCTTGAAGAGGATTTGAATTTATTTCTTTGACATTTTTGAACTGGCAACATTTAGCAAAATGGCCCTTCCTGTTACAGTTTCGACAGAAAATATTCCGGGCAGGACATTTTGGTCGTTCATGTTGAGCGTTACCACACCACTGGCATTGATTGTAGTAATTGGTACTGGACGCATTGGAATCAACTGGAGGTTTCTGAGCAAATTTAGTGCCCCAAGTCCTTGAAGTGACTTTATCTGCAGTTAGTGCATGTTCAGAAGACCTGGACCTTATCAATGATTGTTGCATTTTAACCGATTCGGCTTGCTTAACATTTGAGACAGCAGAATTAAGTGTTAGATCTGCATTCATTTGTAGTTTTTCAGATAAACTTTTGTCTCTAATGGCTACAACAAGTTGATCTCGTATAGCCTCATCTTTATAAGAAGCAGGAAAATCGCATCTAGAAGCCATCTCATGTAGATCATGAATCAAACTCTCAACACGCTCTTCCTCATGTTGAATCCTAGTATGAAACATGTACCTCTCAAAGATTACATTTTTAGAAGGAGCGAAATATGTCTCAAACTTTTTTAAAACAGTTTTGAAACTTTTACTTTCCTCAGATGTCAAATTAAATGATTCAAATATGCTTTCGGCCTTTTCCCCCATCATATATTATAGTAAGGTGTGTACCTGATATGGTTCGTCTTCACTGGTGAGCCCAGATACCGCTTTTCAATAGTCACTGAAGCGCATTTTGCTACAGTTGTCACATCTTCAGAGCATATACACCTTTAAACCATCACTACGTACAAGTGTTTGTGAAGCACTATTGTTTATTTACATTACCGTTCAAACCAGTTGTGCGGCACGGCGGCTGTGTGCTGTGTGCCTGTATTGAGGTTTGACTTGTGGTGTCAGAGCGGTGGGCTCAACATGAAAAAAGATTTTAAAGATTCCGTCATTTTAAAATCCATCCATGATATAGAAATAAACTTCAAATATTTGGCAACCCTGGTAGAAAGTCAGCAACACTCCAATACTTGGAAAATACCGTCTCACAGCCCCAGTCTTCTAACTAATCATAACTAATCACCGCCCTGATACCTCAAACAGTGACGGAAGTGAACCGGGACCGTACACTCAACACGTGTTCGCTGCCACCGCGCCACACTGCCGGTGTGATCAGTGGTGTAAATAAACAATAATGCTTCAAAAACACCTGTACATAGTAACATTTAGTTTGAAGGTGTACATACTTTGAAGATGTAACTATATGTGTGTGTATGTGTTGTGTTTTGTTTGTGTGTGTTGTTTGTAACTATGTGGCAAAAGGCCCGCGGTTTGCATGTATTGCGCTACGGAACCAAGATATAATTGTGCCCCTCTTCACCAATCTTGTAGGGGACTTTTTCTCTTTGTTGCGGATGAGGATTCCACTGTAGCACTGTTAAACTCCTTTATTATGTTATCCAAACTAATGAATATAATCTTAAGAAAAATGATTTTGTGAAGGATTGTTATGAATGAAACACAAAAATATAAATATTGTGTTGTCGATATATATTTGAAGATAATTTATCACTCATACTCTTTTTCTACCTCGCATAAAATACATGAGAGGAATGCTCATCTAGAATAGTAAAAGATTTTGACGAGTTGATCTAAAGAAAAAATACCTTAACTTCTGTTCACAGTTTGATTCACAATTCATCCAATATTGATCATTGCTGCACTAATGATGATACTAAGCAAAGAAATGTCGAGTTCATGGTTTCAATATTTCTGCTCATCTATTCGATTCATCATGCATTTACATGGTAAAACCTCCACAATATGTATATCTGAATTTCAAGAAGTGATAATCAATATAGGTTACTTCACACATCATGTATATTTATTAGTTTGTTTTGTTTGTTCAAAATATTACAATATTACAATTGACAGGTGATTAGTCAACTTATATCAAAATCTAGATGTCTTCAACTAAAGAATGACTATTTAAAATAAAACAAGAACATAAACATAAACAACTGTATACAATTATTATTACAAAAACAAAATTATTGGCTTTTAAAAATCTTCCTAAGTACAAAAAAAAATAAGTTAAAAATTTGGTTAAAGAGTCTATTTGTTCTATGTTTAGCGGTAATTTATTGTACATTTTAGCCCTCTATACTGTTGTGACAATTAAAACCTATTTAGCCTATGTTGTGGAGTGTTTAGAGAATTTTATAATCTTATTGTGGTCAGATTGTTTAAGCATGAATGTGTCAAAGTCTGCTTGAAGCATAATATATTGACAAATAAATTAAATACCCATCCACAAATGAATTATAATTCTACTTGCGTACCCATCCTTTACTATGACACTCCTGACATGCCACAGAGCCCTGGCTGTTGCAGCGGAAGCAATGTTTGACAGACGACGTGTGAGGGACCCACAATGTCTTGACTTCCGCCTCGAACATGCCTCGAGGCGAGACGGCAATGTCCCATGGCAGTGGCGCAGGTCCGTTATCAGGCCCGTCGATTTCTGTCATCGTAGAGAACGCTGTGTGTGCCCACGAGTTCTCCCTGCGCTCTGTGAACGTCTCCAACTGGTACTAAAGCAAACACTTTCTTCTTTGTTATATTTTTAAAACCTCAATCTTGTCATCATAGACTAATCTGGGCAGTGGTCTAAAGACAGTGAAATATCACATGGAGAAACAGTGGTGACTCGCAAGAGCGGTCCCAGGGGAGCTAAGGGGGTCATTCAAGTCTGAGTATTTTGTGTACGCTGTGAAAAGTAGGGAAGATCGGCAGACGACGGACGATTTCAGGCATACGACTCTACAATAGTTGATAGCGAATAAAGATTAACATCTAAAGATTTTAAGGGAATACCCCAAAAACAGTAGGCTATGCTAGTTTATAGATACATTTTTAATTTTTATTGATTTTTTAATGTAATACTACAACATTAATATTTCAATAAATAGCAAATATTTAGGACCCCTTCCTTAAGCAAACCTATATATATGTTAGTGTTAGTAATATTCAATTTGGTCACTTGGAGTTTGTTTAGTCTACGTTACAAGGAGCTACAAACTATAGTTAAGTATTCTTTTGTAGCAAAAGTCAAAACAAAGATATCGACAATGGACGCCTGGTGTGCTAAACTAAAAGGATGTGACATTTCAATTCAGTGTGACAGGCCATATTCTTTTATCAATCTGTATATCTCTAATTTTTAAAATATGGTTTAATTAATTTTAAAATTTATCTTTTTTGTTTTGAAACGTTGAAGATTGGTCTGGAACAGATTTTTTTATGTTAAGGGCTACACTTGATTCAACCTAGTTTCAGTTTCAACCTAATACCACATTGTCTTATGCCCATTTTCCACATGCACATTGAAAGATCAGAGGAAATACGACAAGGTTTACCAAGCAATGGTGTCAAAGATGTTGGTAATATAAAAAAAAAAAAAAAAAAAAAACACCAAAATCTCTTTCCAATTTTGAATTTGAAGTTTTGTTTGGATTGAAGTTGAAAACATTTGAGAGGTTTAAGCAAACCCAACACAACAACAGATATATGCCCTATAGCTTTCTGTTAACTGAAGGTCCACAACAGCTTATAATATTCAGACATATTTGTGTTCAATGAATCCAAATCCCTCGACTTTGATGCACATTTGTGTGACAAATTTTCACAGCATTGAAGTTTGAATTAGTTGATAAAAATAAAATTCCAGAATTTGGAAAGGGTTTAGATACAATTCAGAACTTGCTCAGCCTTTATTTAGATCTTACCTATGGGAATATTGGATAAATTCCCGAACTCCAGCTAGTTTGTTCACCTGATTCAGAAACATAACCTGACAAAGACAATTTCAGGGGTATAAATGTCCTTAAGTCTTGAAAATCACACATAAGAAATAAGTAGACTAATGTGGAGCACTAACATGAAAGGCAGATGAGGCCTCCAAGCTAGTTATGAGGTGACTGTTGGCAGTGTCTCTGCCATAACAGGAGTGTTTGCCGATGTGTGTGAGGAGGGCTTCTCTGGCTTCCTGCTCCGTCAGCGACGGTCTGTCTACCACTGGGGTGTTACTCTCCTGGCCTTCGTCAATACAACACCTGCTTTCAGCCGGGGGTGGAACACAAGCTGTTGAAAAACATATCTATCTTCAACAGGGTTAACTTGTTTGCTTTTGAAACACTTATAGAATAAGATGACATTTTTTACAATTGAATAGGTAGTTCACACTGTAAACACCATTTCTAAATGACTTTAGTTATTTGTATTTGTATTTTCCTTCCTCGTTGACCATCTGGCAGAGGGATTATAACTAGCCTGTGTCTAGTGAATTATGAAAAGTCTGAGTGTACATCCAGTATTATAGCATTGTGTGATATATGCAACGGTAAATATAAACTAAATGACTTACAGCATTTAGCAATTCATTTCCTGGATATCTTGTGTTTAGCCAAAATTGGAATTTGCTTTGTCAAGAATTAAGAACTTTGATTTCATCATCAGGTATAACAAAATATGACAATGAAAAAAATGTGTCTATGTAAAAAAATGTCATGGGAAGGTCACCAAGTGTTTTTATAATTGCACATTGGGATACTAATAGATATTCCTAATTGTACATCAACTATATACCGCATGTTTTCCAGGGAACTTCTAAATAATTGTTTATAGTAATCATTATAGAAAAAAATTTATAGTTTACTATTTTCTAAAGAATTTATGACTCTCAAGGTAAATATGTATAACATACAACCATAGAATAAATTACAACTACAGAAGTGACTATGTAAAATGGTGCTAAAAATGGTAAAAAAATTTACGAAAAACAACAAATAGGTTGATGAAATCTGTTAGTAGAATAAAGAGATTTGTTTAAAGCAATGCTTGATTTCTAGAATTTCCAGTTGCTCTGTTCTTTATTGAATCCTCTACAATTCCTTTAATCCCCTTACCCAGAGAAAACTAGTTATAAAACAACACTGCATCAGTCTTTGTTAGGAATTTTGTTAAAAATTGAAAACAAAAGGCCCGCCAAGGGGACGATTACTGACTATAGGGTGTTTTTTTTAAGTGTGCCACCATTGGGATCTCAGTAACTAATGCTTTTACAGCAAACTTTAAATGGGGAACATTCCCTTGTTTTTAAAGACTTAAAAAAAAAAAAAATTTTGTAAATGGCCAACTTCCAACATGGCGGTCAACTTTGAAATTTCTTATGGAACAAACTTTTTTATTCTTGACATTTTTTCGATAAACCCACTCGTTTAGGAGTTACAGCCTATGGAAAAATGACTTCCGGTGTACAACATCATGTAGCTCCTAAACAAGTAGGTTTATAGCGAAAATGCGAAGAGTAAATAAGTCAAATAAGTCTGAAAATTGCATCCACATTCCAAAAAGACCATAAAACTCGTTAAAAATATTAATTCTATTATTTCAAAAATGGCAGCCATTTTCCAAAATGGTGGCAAACTTGAAAAGTGGAAAACTGTGTATTTTATGGTCTTTTTCGAATGTGGATGCAATTTTAAGACTTATTTGACTTATTTACTCTTCGCATTTTCGCTATAAACCTACTTGTTTAGGAGCTACATGATGTTAAATGTACACCGGAAGTCATTTTTCCATAGGCTGTAACTCATCCTAAACGAGTGGGTTTATCGAAAAAATGTCAAGAATAAACAAGTTTTTAAATTGCATGTTCTATCCGAAAACATGATAAAATATAGGTTATTCCATAAGAAATTTCAAAGTTGACCGCCATATTGGAAAATTGCGGCCATTTACAAAAATTTAATTTAATTATTTTTGAACCTCTTTAAAAACGAGGAAATGTTCCCCATTTAAAGATTGCTGTAAAAGCATTAGTTACTGAGATCCCAATGGTGGCACACTTAAAAAAAAAACACCCTTGTATACTCATAGTTTATAACTTTGCAACACAATCAATTGATTGACAACTACTTTACAGATCATGGTTAGTTCCTCAATTCAGCCTCCGATAATTACATCTATTTGAGCCCAACACATTAGTTCTAATCAAAGATGAGAAATGTTTGCACATAGCAGCATTTTTGTAAAATTCACTTATTTCCATGCATGATTTGTGAACGAATATTGATTTTTTTGTGGTTAAACATGACACTTCTCCCAGCTATGTCAGCTGCCACACAAAAAAAAATGAATCAGCACAATGAAACAATAGAGCATTGTTACTTGTATGAATGTCAAAGTAAACAAATTTGATCTGATTGACATTGACAATGAACGTCTTTCGAAGCTAATACAATTGAATAGCAACATGAATTAAAATAAATATGCATAATTGCAAGGCTACTTTTTCAAAGTTGTTAGTAGTTAAAATTAAGATTTTATTACTTGTGAAATACAATCACTACTTTATGTCAACAACATCAGTGTTGTGCCATAGTCATTATTGTACGAGATGGTTGTTATAGAGTGGTTTTATGATAAAGTGGAACCTCGATAAGAACACCCTCAATAACAAATGGCCCTTGATAATAAGTGCCATTTACAAATACTCATGGATTTATATTACCCTTAATTGCACAACGAATCTCTATAAGGAGTCAACCTTGATCAGAAGTCATATTTGATCATCATCATGTGTGACTTGTTATCAAGATTCATTCTGCTGTATAACAATTGGGGGTGTGGGAAAAGCTACTTTATAAATTGCAGAAAGGACGCTAATTATGCAATTTTGCCCCTCTTACTCTAATTATTTATGCTTATTTTTAATGTTGATTTGATGATGTTTACTTACTAGAGTCAAAAGATACATCTTCATACCCAGAGATGCGGTCCATGAGCTCCAAAGGAGGCCCTGATAGATGACATTCTGCTTCATCAAACCCAACACTGTGAACTGAGATAATAGTATGTATTACAATCTGACAATTAACTCTCTTTTTTTCAGACAATGAACAATTTGAGATTTATATAGGAGGTTTTATAGGTACTTTCCTGTTAAAGGGAACATTCATTATTATCGATGATTTTTCTTCGATATATCGATATTAACAAATTGAAACATATCAGCTGACAATGACGAAAAATATTGTTCAGTATCAACAAACATTAATGAAATGAAACTGTTCTAAAATAAATAACCTAACATAACTAACCAAACTTGCTGTAACATTTAAAAATTCCGCGTTTAAAACTTGCCTTTTATATTCAACCCAAACGGAATTTTTAAATGGTACATCAAGTATGGTTGGTTATGTTAGGTTAGCTTAGAACAGTTTCATTTCTTGTTGTCAATTTGTAATGGATCGGAAAACCAAAACATCGATATATCGAGAAAAAAATCATCGATAATAATGAATGTTCCCTTTAACAGGAAAGTACCGTTTTATACAATTATGGGGTTAAATGGACAATCAACCAATCAATTTTTAAGACACACTTAAAGCTGAATATGACTACAAAGTGAGTGTAGAATGGAGTGAGATGACCTGAGTAGCTTTGTTACTGCCAAAAATCTGTTATTTCTTTAACCAGGAACATTTATTTAACACCCATTGGTCAAGGGTAATTGGGATTAGTTGTAATGCATTAGATTATAATATATATATATAGGGTTAATAAAAATACAGGGTTAAGCAAAAACATGGACCCCCCATTTCAACGGGCTACACCAGGTAAACTAAACACTGCACACCTCTATGTGGCATAAAATTACACTTGTTGGTATCCCAATTTCGTCCATAACCTCCAAATGGGGTATTTTGGGGGTAGCTCATACATTACAAATGTTAAATCTCATCAAGTGCCACCTCATTGTAAAGGCCATCAGTTAAAAACGATATTGGCGAAAACTAGAAGTCCCTATCTCACCCCAGTACAAAATGGCTTTAGTTTTTAAGCTTTATATTTAACTCTTTTTTGCTGCCCCCAAAATGTCTCATGTTGAGCAATGACGTAATGTTTGCCGTTTGTGATCAGCTGCTTATGTTTTAATCTTTCCTTGGAAAATAAATAAATAAATACCTGCGTCATTGCCGTCTTCTATCGTGACGTCATGCTTGACGAGCATTACGGCCTGTTTTTTTAGTGTGGCCTTGTTCCATTATTATAGTTTTTTTAGATAAATATATTACTAAATAGGCCTACTTCCTCACTTACTTTAATTATACTTAATATTTCATAGTTTGTACCAGTTTTTAAGCTTTCTGTATTCCTCCTCTTATCTTTCTCATGATTTCTCTAGTTGAAGGTGATTAGTTGCCTCTGAAGCTGTTTTCGTCAAACATGAATGTTAGACATACTTTGAGCAATTTCAAACATGCACAATGCTAAAAACACAGCAAAACAAACTAATGCCTGTTTCTGTACACATTTAGATTGTGCAACATTAAACAGTAAACAGCTGATTTTAATTTTTACAATAAATCTAACAAAACCGCACTAGATATACACCGTGCAGCCTTGGGTGCCTCAACTTAGGGTGGCGAGGACTATAGCGCTCGTTATGGATAAATGGAGAACTAATCGAGAAAGAGGGAAAGTAAATTTAGAGCGAGGGGAAATAAGGTGATCGTTTTTCTCCTGCTCTAAATTAGAGCTTGGGAAACAATTACTTTTTTTATATCAGCTGATATCGAAGAATAGTATATTTCATTACTAGGACCAAAAGTGGCATTTTCCGGCGCGTGCTCAAGTTTTTGTGGGAGGCGAAGCCGAACACAGGGAACCCCAATTTCATTGCTATTTTCACGTACGAGGCGAAGCCAAGGACGGGAATAATGGAGCAAGTGCTGGATAATAACTTTTGGTTCGAGTTATAAACGATACTTTTCATCACGACGCAAAAGAGTGAAAATTTAAAAACGTACGTTTTCATGTCCCTGGCCTTTTACTTCGTAGATACTGGATTTGTAGTTTATTATTATGTGTTTTAATATTTTTGGGACGGGGGCAACATGTTACACACATTTATTTGGTTTTAAATAGGTTCTAGGTATTTTTTAAATATTTTTAAAGTCTCAAAATTCACGACCATGACGTGTCCCTAGGGTACATTTTCCAACTTTCACGCTGTTTTTAGACTTATTCATGCCGAAATATATAAATCCATATTTTTATGTCATCAATAGTTATTAAACTTACAAAAAAGGAGCATATTATAATTTTATTGCCATTGCAAACTGACTATCATGACAAAATAAGTCTGTCCCTCGATTTGGCGTCACGACCATTTGGCAAAAATTTGTAACTTTGGAGCACGACAGTGGCAAGCCTGCCGTCGATTGCGTCAGTTCGTTTTTGAGACTAGTTTGAGGTGTACGTCAAGTTTGTTGTGCCGGTTGTTTTGTGTTGAAAGAAGTTGTTACAAGATTAATAAAGGCAAGTTTGTGTTTTTTGTAATTTTGGTGTGTCCATGACCGTACGTTGTCATTTGATGAAGTAGATGTGGTTTTAATTTTTGTTGATAGGATATTTCAATTGCTACATTAACCTAGAAGTCCACTTTGTATCCTCAAACATGAGGTGCAAGGCTACCGCCAGAACAGAGCCAAATAATACGTAATGTCACGACAAAAGTTTCAAGACCATCGCGGTTTTTTTCACGACCAATCCAGCCTTATGGATTATACTGTATTTGGTCGTGAAAATAACTTAAATATCATTGCAAATTGAACAGTTTACTTCAATTGAAACACATATTTTTATTATAACTAACAGTATAACTGAAGGATTGTTTAGAAAGATTTAGATTACTCCAGACAATTCACGACCGTACCGCTTATCCCGGACCATCACGTTGATGATTTCTATCATAAAAATTTTAAAAATTAAAATATCATCATATTTCTATGTTTTATACACAAAAGAAGCACACCTCTATAAAAACATAAAGATTTTTCGGGTCTCAGGTAAGTTTTTTCGGAGTTATACAAACTTAAAAGATTTTATTGGCTTTTTTTCAATTTTTTTATTTTTTTTCCAGAAAGACCAAATATACCAAAAGCTTAGTGAGCTGTTTATTGTATAATGGCCATAAAAGTAAATTAATTTATAGCAAAACATAGTTATAAAAATAATATTAACTATTTTTAATATTCAGTTTTATGTCCGTGATGGTCATGACAAAATTTTGTGTTTTTTCATCAAAGATGCTCTATTTATAAAAAATCACCAAAGATATTACGTTACCATGGACATTTTATGAAACTTCAAATGTCAATGAAATAAAAAAAGTTTCTAAAAACGGAACAAAAAATTTTAAAAGTGCTTTTCCTGAAAACGTACGTTTTTAATTTTCATTCAAAAATACACAAACACAGAATAGCAGACCTCAGTAATATTTCTACTATTTTAGCATACCATTTTATTTCCCAATTAATTTTATTAAACCTAAAAATAAAATAATCTTCTAAAAGGAAACCTACGTATTTTTCTCAATAAATTGGGTTTAAACAGTAAAATAAAACAATAAAACAACTTTGAAAAATACTTACAGCTGATTCAAATCATTAAATTAAACTGTAACAAAACACTAGCGCACGTAGTGAGTTAATAGAGAACTAATTGGGAGCGAGGGAAAGTAAATTTAGAGCGAGGGAAAATCAGGTGATCGATTTTCCCTCGCCCTAAATTAGAGCTTGGGAAACGATCACTTTTATTGATGTCAGCTGTTATCGAAAATAGTTACTTTCGTAACGGAGTGATGAAAAATAGTTACTTTTGGTGCTGAGTGATGAAATGTACACAACACAACATGCGTTGTGAGTGTGTTGATTGTCACGGCAATACTGAGTTTTGTTTTCCTCATACAACCCAAATGGTAATAACAAAAAATGATAAAAAAAATGAAAATAGCAGGGATAAAGACCTCTAGTTTTTGCCGATATTGTTTTTAACTAATGGCCTTTAAAATGATTTATAGCTTGATGGGGCTTGCATTTGAAATTTTTGAGCTGCCCCTAAAATACCCCATCTGGGGTTTACTAAACAATTGGGATACTAACAAAAAAGGTTTTTTATATGCTATATAGGGCTATAGAATATAACTAACAGCATGATGTCAGTTCTATTCAACATAACTATTTATATTATGAGTGATAGTTCGTTATAAGTGGTTGATGGTGCACAGTTTGGTTTTCCTAGTACAACCCATTAAAAAACTAATACGGGGTGTCCATACTTTTGCCCAACCCTGTAGATTATTTTTATATTTTACCTTGTATTTTTATAACCAACTTTATGTAATTATAACTTCTGGAAGGCTGTCTTAAAATGTTAACATCAGTAACTCTATACCTAGCATTTGTATAAAAAGTTGGTAGTGTACCGTTAAACTGATATTAACTATATAGTTAATGAATTAACTTAAATTAAGTAAACACAATTTTACTACAAACCCCCAAGTTTGAAACATGTGTCATTCAAAGCATGTGTCTGATATGGCAACAATTCGAAAAGCAGTATATTAGCTTTAGTAATGATAGTTTTGTTGTAATGCTCATTTGTGACTATGTCACCACGACTATATAATCATTTATTGCAGCGCTGTAGTTGTAGTGACAATCTCCCGCTGTCGCGAAGACATCATCGTCTCCCGGTCCCGCGATTGCATCAAAACCGTGAACATCTCCACGCTATCGTCTCTCGTGATTGCAACGAAATTGTAATTATCTCCCGCGGTCGCGAAGACATACATCATCATCGTCTCCTGTGATGGCATCACACATTTTGCACTACATCGCCAAAAACATCATTATTGTCTCCCACAAACGTGACGAAATTGTGAATACCTCCTGCGCAGCAATGTATATTATGTCGTTGATAAATAAGTTTTTTGACAGTTTTACCATAGTCAATGTGATTTCCAATTTAGCGCTGTTGTACTTTAAAAATTCA